AGCATAATATTTCCAACTAGGATAAATTTTTACACAATTGATCTCAACAATAAAACTACTCATAACATTATTTGTTACAGTATTTTGTTTGTGTTGAAGATTGTTGAAGTTAGCATGGCATTTCTTTCTGCCTCATTTCTAATAGAATTATCCGGATCGAAAACTAGATGGACATGGGGTTTTAAAAGTGTCTCCGTTTTAAGACTAGGATAAAGGATTTAGAGAGGAAAAGTGAGAGACTAATGTAAATCGAACGGCTGATTCCGTCACTGTTAGAACATTCATTGCTATTATAAAAATGTCAACTAATTAATGTTTAAATAAATTGGATATTGTTGGCGTATATATTTATTTATATCAAATTGCAGGCATCTTGTTGGTTATCATTAGGCCTTTAGTTGACTTCAGGCTTCACAGATGGGAAGGAGCATCAAATTGAAAAGGGTCGAGATGGGGGGGGACAGAAGAGTGTTTCAAAGATGTAAAAGAGACAGACACAAAGTTGGGAAAAAGATGAGGTGAGTACGGTTGAAGTAGTCGAATTTGACATACAGTGGAGTGATGGTAGTTTGGAGTCTGAAGTCTAATAACATATGATGACACCTCCACTTTGAGTTTATTTTCATACACTTGTATGCGTGGCGCTTTTGTTTTTTTTTCAAATTTTACACAGACAATTGTAACTTTCTATTTTAGGTCGCGAAACAAAAGCTATTTTAAATAACTCCACTCGAAAGTTCAAGAGAAGCAAACTAGAACGTCGGTTGAATAGGGATATTATTTGGTGTATTCTAATTCTCATTATTCTCTGCATGACTGGAGCTATAGGTGGGTCACCACTTCACTGACATTAAAAATATTTGTTTACTTCGATTCATTTATTTAATTTATCCAACTTTACCCTTACTTTAGGTTGCTTCGTTTGGCTTCACAGCTTACCTGGTGACAATATTCTTTTCCTTCTACCAGAAGTATCAAGCAATATTAGTCTAAGTGCTTTCATAAACTTTTGGACCTTTGTTATTATTCTTCAGGTAAACTTTGACCTCATTACTGTCATAAAGGGAAAGATTGAGCCTTCTTATTTAAGATTTACACCTTCTCTAATAGGCTGTGATTCCTCTGCCCCTATACGTGACAATTGAAGGTGTCAGATTGGTGCAAAATGTCTTCATAAGCAATGACATTGAACTCTACGATCCGGTGAGGAAGAAACAGATTGAGGTTCATGCTTTCAATATTCCGGAGGATCTGGGTCAAATTGAGTACGTGTTTTGTGATAAGACGGGAACTCTCACCAAAAATAAGATGGTCTTCAAGCGGGCAGTTATCAATGGCATTGATTACTGTGCTGACGAAGGTGAGCGGTTGATAATAAGATAATATGGCACCTGTGTTCTTTCTTAACTTGACTGCGTTTTGTTAATTGCTGTTTCTTTTTAGATATCCCGGAGGAAATGTTAAATGTAAATTCCGACGTGAGTTTAAACGATCTTCTTGTTATTACATAAATGTGCATATAAGAGTGGCTTCGCGTGTGCTTAGGCATCTGGCAAAGACTTCATATTTCACTCTAGGAAATTTTGATTGCAGTACTTCCTTCCTATGAGCATGCGTGTTATCGAGTTTTCTCAGTGCTTTTCAATCTTGTATCGCGCTAAAATAATGACAGATGCCATGGTTTTGCAAATCTGGATAGTTTTACCAACTAACAGCTATCTAACACTGAAGATTGGAATTGCATCAACACATTGTATTTTAATTAGGGTGTTAGCTATCTTCTGCTTTCAAACGATTCCAAATTGAATTTGGAGGTTAAGTAATTACTAACCTGGGTATGCTAAGTAATTAATGTTGAAATATTGAAAAAAATAATAAATAAATGAAGAATACACAAGAATATATCGGATGCCTGAATTGCAGAAATATATTGTATATGACGAGAATAGATAAAAATCAATAGAATTGGATGGGTGAAGCATGAAATTGATCGTGGTAAAAAGTGAATATTGAATAGTGCCATTTTAATTGGCTTTGAGCTCATTAAATCCTTTCAACTTATATCCTAATCTTTATAGGGTGGAATAATTATAAATGACCTATTATTAGGTTGATGACTGAGTACTTTATATTCACAGACTGTTTCTCTTGTAAACTTTGGGTGTTATCGTCACGATTAATCATATATACTCTCAAGAGGTTATCGGGATGTAGATTAGGCTCAATCTGATAATGATTTTGGGTTGAAGGAAAGTGATTTAATCACTCTTACATAGTTTGTTACATATATAGCTCTTCTCGTGAGACATTTAAAGTTCATTGTATTCATGACGTAGTTGCTTTGATGTCATACGTCCATTCTTACCTTCAACTGTTATCGACGATAATGCATAACTCCTTACCTACGTTAAAATATTGAGAAAATGATTTCTACCAGTTTGTTAATTCTTTTCATTTTGCTTATTTCATCTAGTAATCAAAATTCCCAGTTTATTATTCAAACATGTGTTGAGAAATTGAGTGTATTTTATTATACCTTGTTTGGTTTAATTCAAAAGGTCTCCTCACAAATTAAACTAATGGATATTTTTTATTATCGGTTTAACCTAATTAGCTCATCTGCGATACCAATGGTCACAGGTTCGATATTAATTCATGCACATCCTGTTGATGATACTGTTAAATTTTTGCACCTGCTTCGTATAATTGAATGGAAATATTTTTTTCCATAATTCTAAACCTTGTTGGCCATACCTTTACTTTTTAACAACTGTTTTCCAACTTCTGGTTCTATTTGAAGTTGGCTTATATCGCAGCTTATAAAATGGTAATTCTAATTGACTGATTTCACATATATCTTCAAAATTTTCGTTTCCTTCTAGAATGAAACTGTGGTAACGAGTGCACGACTCTCAACTGTTAGAGAATTCATCCCTTTCGTTCCAACACCTGAGTTCAATTCAACCCAACAGGGTTGCTTCGGTCTGCCAACAAGTCATTCCAGCCCAAGTTTGGATGGGTTGAAGCCTCTGTCTGAAGAGGAACTTCGAAATTGTCAACGAGTGCAGGATTTCTTCCTCTGCCTCACCATCTGCAATAGCTGCGTTGTCTCGGCCAATAAGAATGTTACTGATCCGGTAGGGCTAAATCCCCTTCTGTTATAAACCTACTTTTAGTATTTCAAATGGTAATGCTTATTTCATTTGAACTGCAGTTTTGTCAATTTGAGCACTCTAGGTGTGTCTGTGTAAGTATTATTATTATTAGATCAAATGGCAGGCGTTTTGATGGTTATCATTAGCTCTTCACTCGACTTCAGTCTTCACAGAGGGGAGGAGGAACATCACAGTGTAAAAATTCCGAGAGGTGGAGGGGGACAGAAGAGTGTATCAAAGACGGAGGTAGATAAGGTGGAAAAAAGGTGGGATGAGTACTGTGAAAGTAGTCGAATATGACATACAGTGGGGTCATGGTAGTTTGAAGTCAACTGCCAGGTAATAGACTTTTTCGCCGTATGAGTATACGTTGCCCAGGGTGCACCTCGTGGAGGTAAGTCTATCACACACCCCAAAGGTGCGTCTGTGTAAGTATTATATCAAATGACAGGCTTTGTGATAGTCGTCATTAGCCCTATAGTTGATTTCGTGCTTGACAGAAGGGAAGGGCATTAAAGTCACAATAAATCGAAGGGAAGTGTGAACAGGAGAGTGATTCACTGATATGAAAGAGACAGATACAGATATAGAGAAAAAAGGTAAAGTGAGTATTTTAGAAGCGGTGGGTCATGGTAGTTTGCAGTGAAAAGTCAACTTCCGATTTATAGACTTTGTTGTATGAGTTTACGTTGACTAGGGCGCACCACGTGGAGGTAAGTCTATCGCACAACCCTCTGTGGAAGTATCGATGTCAGTTTTATCGATATCACATTGGCCTTAGTATCAGTTTTAGTTCGTTCTTTTTCAAACGATTTGTTACTAAAAGCTAATGTAACTGAATGAAATTAAACTAAGCTTAGAAGCCCTATTATTAAGAATCAGATCAATTAATCTATAAATTTCGTGCATCAGAGTTATCTATTGTTTCACACTTGTTGAACGAGATGAGTATTCGTAACGGTTAGTATCGCTCATGGGATTAGTATTCAAATACGAATCTGTCGTTGAAGGTTCAATTTTGACACCTCTCTGTCAAGAATAAACACGAGAAAAATGCTTTCTATCACAACTTAAAATGTAATCTAATTCATCACTTGCATTGATCTCCAATTTTCTTAAAGATACTTTTAGAAACGGTGGTGTTTTCTAATTTCTTCGTCCTAATGTCTGGAAATTTCACCGTAGGTATTTTTCTTTTCACCGCTGTTTGGATGCCTTAGCCGCTTCAAATTTTTATAAGCTCCATTAGATAACATACTTATGAATTTTGCAAGAAGATGTAAAGCAGTCATTACTTCACTGAAGCAGGGGTGTTCGATAGACTTACCTCCACGTGGTGCACCCTGGGCAACGTATATTCATACGGCAAAAAAGTCTATTAATTAACAGTTGATTTCTCACTTCAAACTACCAACATCTCACTCTATGTCATATTCGACTATTTCCACAGTACTCACCTCACCTTTTTTTCTACGTTTGTGTTTGTCTCATATCTTTGAAACGCTCTTCTGTTCCTCCATCTCGACTTTTTGTCACTTTGATGTTCCATCCCCTCTGTGAAGCCTGAAGTCAACTAAAGGGTTAATGATAACCATCAAGACGCCTGCCATTTGATTTAAATGAATACTTTACTGATGTATGAAATTGAGAAATTTGGTCATTTAAACGCAAGCTCCTCTTTTTTTATATTCGAGTATTAAAGTGTACCAATTTGGCCTAGCCTTTTAAGGCTTTTCGACGATAAAATGGAGAATGAAGATATTTGTAGATTCGCATCTTAAAATTCATCTAAGAGAAGAAGAAAGTACAATTATTTGTCATAAATGAAAATTATTTTTGTTTACTTTTGGCGTCGTTATTTACCATTTGCGAAATAGAGCATATCGTTTGTCCTTTCTTAGTGTGGTTGAACATGTCACTTTCTCGCGTACCTAATTAATTTTTTTCTTGCTAAAACACGGCCAAACAGATCCCAGATCAACAATTATAGTCAGTTACGTCTTTAGCACGGTGCTGAGCTAACCATTTAGCTGTCCTGAATTGGCGGTTGGGTTCTCCCAGGTATGACGAGTAGCAGCCTAATATGATTCATTCCCCAATTAGCTGTAGCATTAGGATATGCTCTCGCTTTAAGACAGGATGATCTTGCATATACCATGAGTGTTTCTAACTTATTCATCAAGT